TCCAACTTTTGATAGTTCCCCAGATATGGCTTGAATTGGAATGCCCCTTCCTCATCCTGAACGTTTAGTGCCTGTTTCTATTCTCCTTTTATATTGATCCAAAACACACTGGAGAAATAATCCAGTCTGAGATCACTTTAACTGCCCTGGCTTAATGGGGGCTTAATGCTAGTTTTGTGAGACATTTAGCCTTCTCTGTCAGAGAGCTCTGGTACCACAAGAGACTACAATTCCCTAGCACTGAGTCACAGTAGTTAAAGCGGTCTCAAGCTGGATTATTTCTGCAGTGTGTTTTGGACCATAGTTACTTTTTGGATAATTATCGGCCAGTCTCTAACATTCCATTTTTAGGCAAAGTCCTGGAGCATGTGGTGGCTTCTCAATTCCAGCGATTCTTGGATGAAACAGATTATAGATCCATGTTTGTCTGGTTATGGAACAGAAACAGCTTTGGTCACCTTGGGAGCTAGACAGGGGCAAAGTTTTGGGATTTGGTGCAGTCAGTATGTGGATACCACCAAACTCTGTTACTCCTTTCCATCACAAGCCAAGGAAGCCGTTTTGGTCCTAAACTGGAGTCTGTTATTGATTGTGGACTGGATTGAGGGAGAAGAAATTGAAACTTAATCCAGAGAAGATGGAGGTATTCCTGATCATTCAAAAGGCAGAACAGGTAATAGGGACTCTGCCTGTGCTGGATAGAGTTAGACCTCCCACGAAAAGGCAGATTTGCAATTTGGGTGCAGAGTATTTAAGATGAGAGAGTCAGCATGATATAGTGGTTTGAGCACTGGATTATGACTTTGGAGACCAGGGTTCGATTCTCTGCTCAGTCATGGAAACCTACTGGGTGACTTTGGGCAGGTCACACATCCCCGGCCCCAGAAAACTTGGGGTCGCCATAAGTCGGAAACGACTTGAAGGCACACAACAAAGATTTTCTTTGAATTAAAGCACTCAAAAGTAACTTCTCCAAGCTCTGGGTTCTTCCAACAGGTTGGACCTAGTCTTAGGACTTTATCAGGCTGGCAAAAAAAGGACGGGAGCATAGTGGTATGCTGCCTTCAATATCGTTCAATAACATGAAGATTATCACACAACGTTGCACAACGTCATGATTATCGTGTGATTATCCTGTGAATAAAAAGCAGTGCTAGAATGCCTCTTTATTTATGGGATAATCACGGGATAATCGCACGTGACATTGTGCGACGTCGTGTGATAATCTTCACGTTATTGCGTGATATTGAAGGCAGCATACCACTATGCTCTTATCTTTTTTGCCAGTCTGATAAAGTCTTTAAGTTTTCACCTATAAAGCCCTATACAGCTTGTGTCCAGGCTATTTGAAGGACTGTATCTCTCTGTACGAGCCCCGCAGAGTATTGAGATCATCGGGAGAGACCCTTCTCTCTGTCCTACTACCTTCTCAGGTACGTTTGGTGGGAACAAAAGAGAGGGCCTTCTCAGTGGCTGCTCCCAAGCTCTGGAACTCCCTCCCTAGAAAGGCCAAGAGGGCTCCATCCCTGCTCTCCTTCCAAAAGTAGATAAAGATATTCTTGTGCCGGCAGGCCTTTGAAAACTGATACGGACTGGGTTTTTAATGTTGTGTGATATAAATTTTAATGCTTTGTATCTTAATATGTTATATTTTAATGCAAACTGTTTTAACTTTTAAAATTGTTTGGGGTTTTTTTAAATTTTATATTTATATATTTTAATACTGTTTTTAAATTGTATTGTTTTATACTTGTTATTTGCTGCCTTGAATCTCTGTATTGGGGGAAAGGTGGGATATCAGAATATAATAATAATAATAATAATAATAATAATAATAATAATAATAATAATAACAACAACAACAACAACAACAACAACAACAACAACAACAACAACCCTTTAAATTAATGAGACTAAAGCAGCAGAGTGGATTCCTGGTCAAAAAAATTATGAATCTAGACCTTTTTACTTTGAGTCCAGACTTGGAAAGAAACATCTATTCTAGATGTTGACCTCTGTCCCAAAATTAAACTGAAATGGACCAAAGTTAGAGAAGATTTAAATTAAAAAAAAACCCTTTACTCTCTATTTTGATTCTTTTATTCATTGTATGACACAGGCATAACAACCTCAACTCTGTCAATCTGAAGCTTTTTTCCCTTCTCTGTTGTTACCATAAAAACTGGGATCCTACATCATGGAGACAGAATATAATTTTATTCCCATGGAGTTTTGTGCTGGTTGTGTAATGCCATCTTGTTAGTGAATTGTGATGTTGTACAGCCAAATACCAGGGGTGAAAGTTTGGGGGAGAGCAAAAATTAGGGCATTGTCCCCCTAAATAAATATGCTGCCCTTCCCAAATGAAATTTTCCTTCAGACCCTAAATGTCTAGCATTGCAAAAAGTTGTTGCTGTTGTTGCTAACTGCCATCTAGTTGACTTTTACTTATGGTGACCCTATTCCAGACTCAGGGCAGCTGTGACTTCCTTGATGGAGCCTTTTCCTACTCATAGAATCATAGAATCGTAGAGTTGGAAGAGACCACAAGGGTCATCCAGTCCAACCCCCTGCCATGCAGGAACTCAAAATACTGCCTTCCACCTTGTTGTAGTTTGTTGTTGTGTTCCTTCAAGGCATTTCCAACTTATGGCAACCCTAAGGCAAACCTGTCGTGGGGTTTTCTTGGCAAGTTTCCTCAGAGGGAGGTTTGCCATTGCCATCCTCTGAGGCTGAGAGAGTGTGACACACAGGCTTACCCAGGGGGTTTTGTGGCCGAGCCCAGATTTGAATCCTATCCTTCAGTATCATAGTCCAAAACTCAATTCACTACATCATGCTGGATCTCACCTTCCATCTTACCAAGCATCATTGTCTTTTCTAGGGAGTCCTGTCTTCTCATGATAAGGCCAAAGTACAACAGTGTCGGTTTAGTCATCTTGCGTCTAAGGAGAGTTCAGGCTTCATTTGCTCTCAGACCCATTTATTGGTCTTTTGGTCATCCATGGTATCCATTGAACTCACCTCCAGCTCACATCTCAAATAGGTTGATTTTCTTCCTGTCTGCTTTCTTCACTTTCCAGCTTTCACAGCCATACATGGAAATGGGAAATACGATGGCATGGACCAGGGACCAGCAACCTACGGCCCGGGGGCCGGTTAAGGCCCCGGACTTACCGGCCCAGGCCGAAGGTTGCTGCCGCCGCCACCACCACGTGCTGCCGCTGCGCGCTGCCGTTGGGTGCGTTTTTGCCGCTTTGCGGCCGCGCTCACTGCGATCACCATTTTGGAAGTCAAAATAGCGGTCGCGACGCGTTTGCGCATGCTCAGTACTCTTGCGCATGCGCAAACGTATCACGGCCACGATTTGGACTTCCAAAATGGCGGCGGCGACATGCGCCGTAGAGGCGGCTGCGCGTGCTACGGCGGCGGCCACAGTAGCAGCTGTGGCGGCAGCGTGCGCGGAGGGACAGCCGAGACCTGGGCTACGGGAGACTGGCCCAGGTCTCAAAAAGGT